AACAGGTCATAATTCGCATCCTTGATGCATGCCACATTAGCAAGGAGATTGAAAATACTTTTATTTTGGCCAATATTTGCCTTCCCACACTTATCCCACAACATATTCACAAAAATTCGGCCGCTGCTGTAATGTTCAAATGCTGTCAAACCATTTACATGTCATGATAATAGTGCCTGATTTGCATTTGATCTTCGTAGACTTTTGTTTATGTCTTTTAGTTTTATGCGAAAAGAAAGCTTTGCATATTTTTTGGGAAACATTCTGTCTGTATTGAAAGCGTACACGAATGTGGAAGGCTAAGAGTGCTTTATCCTGTCTCTAATTCCAGATGATTCCCTCACAAGCAAATTAATTAATTAATAATTAATAAATGAATAAACAAGTACTCATTCAGATAATGAAATAACCGGAGAATTTTCCTGTATAGAGAAAGTATGGTTTCTCCTGCATCGCTTGTTCATGCAATCAATGAAAAACACATTTCGCAATTTTTGTCCATTTCCTACTTATGATCGATCCTCTTTTCTGTCATCATAATGTTTGCTGGACTGCCTGGAACATTTGTCGCATATAAAATAGCAACGTTGAGATTATGACTGCTTATTAGAATCGTTATTAAACATCCTTCTTAGTTGATCTACTCTTCGTGACCATAAGTTGCTTCCGGCAGATAAAATCACAGTCGCGATCTCAGTGAGGTGTACGAGTCGCTCCGAAACTTTCATCAATATTCATTATTATCGCTTTATTATCTGGTCCAAAAAGTTATGAATTCTTCAAATCAAGACTTTTTGGTCCTGATTTTGCTAGATTGAGGAAGGATTATTCTTCTGAACCATGGTAGATTTGAAGAGAGAAGATATTTTTCTATTACTGCTGAAAGAGGACATTAGCTAAAAAGCGTTTCGGACTGTTTTGATTATATGCAAAACGGCTGTACAACATTTAAACGGTTTCAAAGCTCTCGTTGTTTGCCTTAAATGATTTCAAGAAGCATGTTAAATTGGATTAATGTTATTTGCGTCACAATATTTCCTTCAATCTTGACATTTTACCGGCTCTAATCACTCAATTCTTATTCTTAGTAGGTTTAAGATTCGATCAGTATGGCCGAACGAAATGGCGTGTATTTGATCTACAATGTTGGGTATTTGATATATCGTCGGGAAACGTTTTCTGACGTTTTTCTCCCGCTTTATGACACTTCTTTTGAACGACTGATATGTGGCAACGCATATGTCTTTCGTACGAGTTACTTTATATTATATTAGGTTGTCCCGAAAGTTCTGTTCGTTTTTTCAAACCACTATAAAACCACGCACAATAAAGACCTGAATGAGTTTCAACATGCATTCGATGCAGCTTTTCTTTCTCTTTTTTACGGATAAATGCAGGAACCATAATCTTGTATGAGTTTTTTGACAATTGCTAAAATTCTTCACCCGTTAATTTTATCTGCTCAAAGTTCGGCTAACTTTAGAAAATTTCATTTTGAACTTTCGGGAAAGGTTAAGTATGCATCACATAGAGCAGTTCTCGGAACACAAAATCATAATTTTATATTCTCTACTCTGCTGGCTTTAGCTTTAAAAAATTATTTCGAAAGTCTCGATTTTTGCCCAAGTCATGAAACACGCAACTGCAGCAAATACACGAAAGCTTTTGAAATTCCTGTAAATTGAGACATGATTTTTATTCAACATTATTTATGCAGCATAATCAAGTTTGATTTGCTTTGAGAAACCACCTTTCTGGAAATTTCGATAATTTTAGGTGGTAAATGTAATCAAAAAGGCAGAGTTTTTCGTAAATATAATCATTACGAACTTAAAAGCGCCTCATGTAATCTAAAATAGATATATGTAGTCAAAGGTTTGCTCTACATAACAATTACCAGCGCTCCTTGAAAACATTAGGATAAAATCTTTTGAAATTCATGAAAGATTTGGCGTTACTGCTGAGCTGCTCCAAAAGCCATGTCGATAACCTCGCAAATACAGGGTAGATCAGAGAGCAAATATAGCTATAAGAAAGAGAATAAAAGTTTGAATCGAAAAATACCCAAGACATTCATGGATTGTTGTTCTGTGGTTTTAGTAAGCAATGAAAAAAAAACGGACAAAACTTTCGGGACAACCTAATATTATTTTGGCACCTGCCTGCCTCGTCTTAAAGGCACCGTCCACCCTAAGCTAGGGTTTTTGAGCCTTTGGCAGCCTATGATAGTGGGGCCCCCTATCAAGCCAACGCCCAAGTCGCGGCGCAAAATGGCGCTTCGGAAGCGAGAAAATTGCTTCGGAATAACGAAGATGCACGAGGATCCCCATCCGTGCTCGCCCATTCGTGCGCGCATATCCAATCACCGTTCCGGTAAACCGGCCTGTGGGAACGGGGATTGTCGGGGTTTTCGCGGATTCTCGACTTAGTATTCGGAATCACGGGCATGAGAAGGCCCTAAAACGACACAAACCTGGAAGTAGAGAATTTGGATGGACGGTGCCTCTAAGCAGTCTTCTGCATGGTGGTTTGAAGGACGAGAAATTGTGCAGATTTTGACTGAATTTGTAACACGGGCTTCAAAATTATGTTGCATGTGGCACCATTTCCAAAAAAATTTGCTTTTTCAATAGGTGCTTAATTGTTCCAAGAGTTGACTCTTCCTTCCTAATAAACACCAATCTTTAAATTTACGGGATTGACGGCTGGAATGCGGGGATTTGAGGCCTAATCAAGGCTAGGGAATGATCAGAGAGCAGGCTCGCGAGAAAAAATCAGGCTGCGTCGCGGGTGCGAGCGTTGCCTTCCAGCCGCCAACCCGGTTGAATCAAAGTGTAAGCATCATACGCATACATACGTGGAAAGACTATGAGATGCTCATTAGGAAAGATGAGCTAAGCATTTGCTGGTTTTAATGAAAAACTGAATAAGTGGTGTTTCAATACATATAATGATGACATATAGTATGTTGATTCAAAATCAGTGCAAATTCCTCGCAGTTTCGCAGAGCAGCTATAAAAATGTAAGTAACACACTACCAAGTAGAGCAAAGCAAGATTTACAAACTGGTATTCAAACATGCAAAATGTTGATACTTGTAAGGTCTGAAGGCAGAATTTCAACTTTGAGTAGTTAAAAACAAAATCTCATTCCCTTTTCTGCACACCTGCAGCTCCCGCGAGCGTATAATATTTACATTAAATATTCATATGCACAGTCGCTGTGAATTTTCGATGGCTAGAAGTCGAGAAACGAAGGTTGGCATGCTTTTGCAAAAGCAGCACTAACATGAGAATCATGTTTAGTGTGGCTTTTTTGGATGGGATGTGTACCAGTTCGAGGGCATAAAACGCTGGTTCCAAATCTGACTTCCTTATCTGCAGAACGTTTATGGCGCGAAACTACGGGCGTCTTCTGAAGCAAGAGATTGGGACAAAAATAGTCGTGATATTTTTCTACAGCTTTGATGCAGCAGGATAATTATAGAGCACTTTATACGATAAATAGCCGAACAAAAAATATTGCACACTTAATTGCTTTATTTGAGGGCTAGTAAGTTCTCAGCAACTCACTTACCCTAAAGCACTTTCAGATTTTTGCTTAAATAAACGCTCATAACTCCTCGTCCATGACTGTTCCGCAGAAAGGGAAGGCAGGTTTGGATTCAGCGTTTTATGCCCTTCAATATCTTATACATCTCATCTAAAAAGGCTACTTCAGACCCTAAACCCTTCCCTTGTGAGCTATTTCCATACCTTGTAAATCAAAATGCAACTTCTATGGAAGCAATGACAAATTCCCAATATTTCAAAAGGCTAGTTTTGTAGAAATGACAACATTGGAATTCAAAAAAACGAGAAAGCCGCCAATTTTTCTATATTTTTTTTTTGATTTCGAGTCATAAGAAAAATTAAGAAAATGTACTTGAATGCCTGATATGAAAAGTTTACCTGTGAGCAAGTTGGTAATTCCTAGTTCCTTTTTCTTGTACAAAGATTCAATTCTGGAGTATCTGGAAATTCTTGAAATTTAGCTTCCAGACTGCATACGTACAGAACTCTGCGGGAATTAGAGAACCATCTTGTAGAGCTTGCTTTGATCTATCTAATGGTATCTTTCTCACATTATCCAGAGTGTAGCGCTGAACCGCAGAACCTGCCTAAAATTATGTGAATCAACCCAACAATGCGCTTCAAAACGTCCCAAAGAGAAATGGTGGATTTTTCACTTGGAACAGTTCTCCAGAAACATGCATCAAATGTGCACCAACCTAATATCATTCCTGATGAACTTTGAAAAACCAGATTCATATAAAAACTAGCAAGTTACTCAGACTAATGCCTTTTCATGAAATTTTCAAAACTGCTTGTCAAGAAAGCGCACAATTTTCATTCTTGTTCACACTCAGAATTCGAATGTTAGCGTTCAAAAAAATCCTATCAATTCGTGAGAAACCATGCGTCGTAGCGAATGACTCAAATTCAGCAAACACAACGTTACACATCTCAAACAATGACCGAGCTGGTCACTTTTCTTCGAGCGCAAAGGCACTCGTTTATCTGTGATTGATCAGGTCTCCTTTTGCATCTTCTTGTATCTATTCTTCAAGCAGAATCAATTCCCTCTATATATATTTTGAACTTATTTGTTTACTGTAAAATGAGTTTTTGCATAACACGAGATTCAGCCTTTTTAGATTTGACAGCGGGTGTGGGGGAACGAACTCCGCCAGATTTGTGCCGCTTCCGCTGACATTTGGTACTTTTGCAATGTTGCCGCATGTCGTTGCAGGACCAGTAGTCCGCGGAGGAGGCCCAAACTGGCAGAGTACGTTCCCCCCACCCTGACAGCAGTCTCGTTTATTTCTTTCCTCTCAACGCTCGAAACTAACTTATCTTTGAAAGTGTACTGTAATTATTTTTGAAGATACCGCTCACGAAAATTGATTATTTTCTAAACCCTGCTTTCTGCTTGCGCTCAAAAGTTGCCAAGAATTATGCAGGACAATTTACATACGTCGTTTATGTAATCAGTGGGTGGCAATATCGTCCCGTATTCTTACAGAGCGAGAGCGAAAATAGACCACTTGCTCCTCTTTCTTCGAAATGAGTGCTGTAAGCACCGAGTAAGGATTTATCTGCGGTTATATTCGATTTTTTGTGCAAAAGGAGAATCTTTCTAGGTCTTTCATCGATTCGGAGCTGAACTTTGGACTGGACATGCTTCGGCAAGTACCTGCGAATGCTCAAACGGTTGTGTCTCCTCTTTCCGTCATTCTTGCTTTGGCTATGGTCCAAGCTGGAGCGAGAGGACGAACTAGAGCACAAATAAATGAGCATATTTCTAATGGTGAGACACTATAATGATACTGTGACCGCGTTACATGTCAAAAGTCTCGTGACGAAAAGAAAAGAAATGAAATAAAAACAATGAAAAATCGTACACCCCGCATGGGGGTATGAAGGTGGTTCTAGCTATAAAGATAATCAAACTGGGGCGCCTTAGTTGTTTTGAAAACTCTTTTCAAAATGATTACTAAAATCAGAACCACCGGTAATCTTCCTAGAATTGTCAAGGATAGGTGTACAAGGTGGTTCTATTACTAGTTCTTTCGCATTTCTTTTGATTGTTCGTATTTTGCACAGTGCGCATTAAAAGCTTAAAGCCTAACTACCAAATTGTTCGCTCCAGTTTTCTGCATCAGGAGAAATTTGAAAAGTTATCAAATTTGGAAAACCGAAGAGGGAAAAAAAACCTCTTTTAGACAACTACATTACGTCGCCTTCCAAATAGGTCAGATTGCATACAAGACAACTCCAAAAATTTGATGAGAGTCAAAAAAGAATGTATAGCTTTTGCAGAAATTTAGGGAAGCTAGATAAATTTTCTGAAATACCTCGTGTAAATTCAAAAAGTCTTCATTTTGCAATGACTGATTTTCAAGATAATAGTAAAATGAAATGTCCATCTCCAAAAATGGCATAATCCTGCACTCGAACGAAAATCATGTTTACTTTATAGCCTACGAAATCTGGAGAGAATCAGGTTAAGTTACACATGGATAGTTCAAAGGAAAAATCTTTGTCGTATGACAAAGATTTTTCCTTTGAACTATCCTTTGACAATCGAGCCTGATTTCACTTGCTGTGATCAAAGAATAGATATTAAGCTCCTGACAAACGAATGTTGAGAAGGACAAGTCACTGTCCCAATTTCACGGGTACAAAGCTCCTGTTTTTTTTTTCAAATCCACCCAAGTTCGAAAGCGACGCAGATTTTGAAATCAAATGAGACTCTTTGTGCTTCGCCTTAATTAAAACATTTGTGCGGGAGAGCAAACCCTTCCTCTAAGCGGGGTGCCGTTGAGTTGGTGGCATTTAACGGAGGAGAAAGGGTGTCTTGCTCCTGAAATCAGAGAAGTACCATGTTTTATGCGTTCTAAACTAATGTTATATATAAAGTTGAATGTCTGTTTGTCTGTCTATATGTCTGTCCGTATGTATGTGGGTACCGTATGTTCCGAATAGAAAATTCAATTTTAAACGATCCGGACCAAAATTGGCACACATACTCTACGGGACAAAGAGCGTGTCATAGGCTACTTTTCGTCATCGATCGATATCGATTTTGTCGTTTTTTTTTGCAAAATTTAAGCTACGGGGCTGGGAGTTGGACAGGGGGATAATCGAGCATGCCGATTACAAATACAGGGTGTCCCAAAAAAAATGTGAACACTGTTTGATCGTTAATAACTCCCTTGCTTTTATGTCTTTCGCCGAGCTTGAGGCACCATTCTATAGAGCGAGGTCTAGCTTGGATTTACGGTATGGAGCGAGTCGTCCATCTCTCTTCATTACTGTAGGATTACGGTAGGAACTTTGACAAGTATTTCAAGCCGTTGAAAGCCATATTCTGCCTCGCAACGAAACCAAACAAGCCAAAAACTTTCATACATGGGAAATGGAAGCCGCTGAGTTCGAATATGAAATTTCCACCTTGCTGTGACGCTTCTTGCCAAGGTTATCCCAGGTAAACCTTAATAAGCGAATTTCCAGCATTTGTCAAAAATGCGATTACACCATCAAAACAGCTAAAAACACTCGTAAAAAGTTGTGTTATGGAATCAGCGAGCGCGAAAACCTTAGTACACGATTTTTCAGATTTTTTGAAAAGAATTTTGTCAAATGACATATTTCACAATAGATTCACGTGTCAGAAGTTCATACCGTAATCCTACAGTAATGAAGAGCGATCGATGATTCGCTCTATACCACAAATCTAAGTTGAACCTCGCTCTACAGAATGGTGCCTCATGCTCGGCGAAAGACACGAAAGCAACGGAGTTATTAACGATCAAACAGTGTTCACATTTTTTTGGGACACCCTGTATTAGGTTGTCCCGAAAGTTTTGTCCGTTTTTTCAACCTATCATAAAAACGCGTGGAACGAAGATAGGGAACTGCTCTAAGCACTACACGACGCATCTTTTCCTTCTCTTTCTAACTGTCATGCTTCCTTGCCGATTAATCTTTTGTTCACTGAGACAAACGCCGAAATTTCGAACCCATGGTTTTTACTATGTCCAAGTTTGGCAATCTTTCACAATCTTTATTTTTGACTTTCGGAAAAGCTTTGGCAACAGTTAGATAGAGCAAACAAAGGGCAATATAATGCAATTTTGCGGCATCTATAGCCAGCCTTGAAATTTCTTTAGAATTATTTTTCTGATGCTATCAAATTCCACTTTTGGTGATGCCAAAAGCCAGAGATCATGAAACGGCGCACAACTAAGGTGTTATTCGATGCAGCTTTTCCTCCTCTTTCCAGTGAGTGTATTTTCTATACAATTTGCGGGGTCTTTGGCGATAAAATTATCATAATTCTTGAATTTGACCCCACTCCAGCGGGTACACTTAAAATGCAAAATCTTATATTTCGAAGCGGTAAACGCTCATTTGCTTCGTAAAAATAGTGATTAATCGTAATCGGTTAATAAAAGCTTCAAAATCCGATGATTTGTTAGTGTTTGAGGCGTTTCTGTATTTTAGAACTTCGCAAAAGTGAAGACTTTTGAAAAAATTATCTTTAAAAATATTGAAAAGCCAGCTAGATATGCCAAATGATTGCATGGCATTGCTCCCTTTGCTTGCTCTATCTGAGGGCTGTCAAAGATCTTCCAAAAGTTGAAAATGAAGATTGTGAAAAATTGTCAAACTTGGACATAGTAAAAACCATGGGTTCGAAATTTCGACGTTTATCTCAGTGAGCAAAAGAGTAATCGGCATGAGAGCTTTACAGTTAGAAAGAGGAGGAAAAGATGCGTCGGGTATTGCTTAGAGCGTTTCCCTATCTTTGTTCCACGTATTTTTATGATAGGTTGAAAAAACGGACAAAACTTTCGGGACAACCTAATATATTATTGACGGGGCCGGGCGGAGTCGGGTAAGCCATCTAGTAAGCTAATATGGACTTGGTGATATGATGAAATACGTACTGCTCCGATACTACTGATAATCCACAATGGCTCAAAGCAATCAACTTTGTATTTTAGCAGTTATAACAGTCAAGACAGAGCCCTTGGCTCGTAAAAATGTTAGCTTCGTTTCTGTGTTTCAGATCTCTAATCAGTAATTAGGAATTGTGCAGTGTGCAGCACAGGCACCAATATTTTTCGATCAGCGCAAAAATATGGTTACGACCTCAACAGCATCCTTTCTTTTATTGGCTAATCCTTTCAACTTCATTAGAGTTTTAAGAGTAAATTTAGGAGCAGACAATGTTGATATAGAGAATTTTTACTCGAAACTCTCACAAGATGTCTTGAATGCCACCAACGATGTTCAAACAAGGATTGCAAACGCGTTTTACATGGAGTATGTTTGACAATCCCTTTTCCGGTTTGCTTACATTAAGTTGAAACTGTTCAGTAAACGCTACACTATTGAGAAACAGTACGAAGCCACAATCAGGAAGAAATATTCTGCTAAGGTGGAAGCGCTTGATTTTGAAGCACCAAAGGCTGCTGCTCAGGTTGGGCTATGCGGTATGGGTATGATGTTGAGTTCTATTTTCCAACTTCAAGATTATCGACAAGTTCATAAGCGACACAACAGAAGGAAAAATAAAAAATATGGTTAATGAGAAGATGGTAATGGGTGAGTGTACAAGTGCAGTTTCCAAGTATACTCAGAGCTTCTTTAGATGCTTTCTCGCTCATTGTCAATGCGATTTACTTCAAAGCCAAGTGGTTGAGGGATTTTAACAAGGATTTGACCAAAAAGGCAACTTTTCATTGTTCGGAGAATGAGCAAAAGCAGGTGATTTACAGACTTTCTGATTCACTAGCGCAGAACTATTTCCGAAAGAAGAAAAGAGAAAGGATGATCAAAAGGTTCATCAAAAAGCAGAACGCCTTCAAAACCATATTCTGCAAGCCTGTCAATTTTCTATTGGTTCCAATATCCTTGCATATGTAGATCTATTCAAGCGCGTAATGCACCATAATGATTTCTACTCTTGAGGATGATCTAGAACTTAAGTATTCAAATGACTCAAGCCTGAATTTCAGATAGAATTCATGAATGAGTACCAGAAAAATCGTCTATATGCGGAAAACGACGATCTGCAAGTTTTGACGCTTCCTTACAAGGACACCACTTACGCACTGAGCATACTGCTTCCCAAGAAACGGTAACTTGACTTGAAAGCGAAGCAGGCTTTTGAAAATGTGCTTGCAGGTTTGCTCTTGCTGAAATCAGGAACAAGATCACTGGATCAACACTTCGAGAATTACTGAGACAAGTGAAAATGGAGTTCATGACGGTGGGGACAAACTCCGCTACGTACAAGTTTTCACATTTTCATTTACAGATTTCCGTTCCAAAAATGAAAATCGAAACAAAGTTCGAGCTGAAAAAAGCATTGATTTCGATGGGTATCACTGAGATGTTTACTGACAATGCTGATTTCACTGGAATCACTAAAGAACCTCCACTCAAGGTGTCCGATGCAGCGCACAGAGCATTAATTGAGGTTTGTGATATGTACGAGAACTGCAATATCCGAAATGGTCGATTGGAAGAACATCATTGTTACCCAGCTAGGATGAGGGGGGGGGGGGGAGATGAGTTTCTTTTTTGTTGAAAGGGTGTATGAAAAAACTCCGCTTTTTACACTAACATCCAGCAGCCACCTTGCAGCTTTTCAAGGCAGCGTCCGCGCAGACTTGGACATTGTAGGATCTATCATGACCGAGTACTAGGGCCTCGATCTAAAACTTTCGCACAAGTCCGACTTTTGTACATTCCCTACAAAAGAAGAAAATCGGCGCAAAAAACGCCGAGCCTTGAAGACACGCCTACTTCCTCGCACGGTCCACCCCCTTAAACGAACACTCCTCAGCTCTTGACGTGCGTTCACGTGGCAAACACAGTGGCACACAGTGTGCCTACCTGTTAATGCTTGCTTCAGACAAGGGTTGCATTAGATGCACTCGTCCACATTTCTCACAAAATTGTTCGAAAATGGGGTTTTTTGAGGAATTAAAGCATTTTAAGTGACATCTTTGGAATCAGCGCCATGGAAAGGTCTGGATAAGGCAAAAAATAGAAGTCGAAATTCTGCCTGGACGTTGCCTTCAAGGTTGGGCTAGAGTGCGCAGCATACGCACATAAAGGCACCGTCCATCCAGATTCTCGACCTCCATGTTTTTGTCGTTTCTTGGCCTTCCCATGTCCCTAATTCCCGAATATGAAGTGAAATAAGCGGGGAAGAGAAGAGCAGCGATTTCAGTTTGTGCTGCACCAAGGTTCCTCTCCTCTAAAGCCAAGTGATATGGTCCGGGTAACACCGAAAATGCTAGCTAGTTGACAAGCGCTCAATGAGTGGCCATTCCGAGATGCTAGCAACTATACTTTGTTTGCTTCCACATATTGGTAACTAAAGAGATTCTATAATGAAGAATCAACATCTCAGTATGTTAATGACTAATAACTTCTTAGGCACAAAGCCATAGCTGATCCATTTGGTCGCTTGATCCACTTGATCTGCTTGATCCACTTCGTATAAAACGCGTCGTAATTTATTTGTTATTTGCCGTCGCATACAGGGAAAGAAATCCCTTAAACATAGAATTTTTTTACCTACGCGATGCCATTTGTCAAAATAGTGATGGCAAATTTTACACGAAGTGGATCAAGCGGATCAAGCAGATCAAGCGGATCGAGTGGATCAACTGACGTGAGCCTTAGTTGCGATAAAGATAATGGTATTGAATTGCTTATAAGTTGATAGGCAGGCTGGTGGTTATACCTTACGACAACTCGGATTGTTACTTCTCTTTCCTGTGAGGCAGAGCCTTTTACGGTTATGTTTTGATTTTTGAGACTGTCTAGAGTATACCTAAAGTAGTTTGAAAAATCTTCCTATTGGATGAAAGCCATTTTAACGAAATTAAGCTTTGATCTGCTATGTGTATCACGTTTGTCCCACATGGCAGTCATTGTTTCACCTATCAAGTAGGTCAACTTGATGTCAATGTGTTAAATAATGCGTGTTTTGCAGGACCTCACTTTGACGACCTTACATCTCACAAACAGCTTATCTTGTAATTGCAAGACAGAGATGAGTGCGAATGAAAAAAAAAACTCGGCTGGAGAAAGGCAAACTGAACATTTTTGTTAAAAAAATTTGTCAGATTTTTGATCCTTTCTGTAGTAGGCTCTAAAGTTCTAAAAGGAATTTCTTCTAGCATACTGAACCGGCTAGGTTTTCTTGCGATGAGTATCAACAAGATGCACCACTCTAACGTTCATAAAAATAAGCTAACCCTGGTTTATTTCCCACTTCGACTGTCGATAAATCTCGGCATAATCAAATAATTGTAATGTTTCCTGAGGTGTGCCAAGGTGTTATGACCAAAATTTATTTGGCTAACGTTTCGGCGTTCACGCCGTCTTCGGAGACACCTGCAAGTAGAGCTTACGTGAACTCTTGAATTCAGGCTTCGAAGACGGAGTGGACGCGAAACGTTACCCAAATTCTTGGTCATACTACCATCTTGGCACAGCTCAGCAAGAAATATTATTAGTGTTAAAAGATTCTAAGACTTTTTAGATTTTTTATGAGCTTCTAAGAGCATTGGTAGTAACCACTGGGCAGTTTGGAAGTTCAAGCTCTTCAATATCCAAAACTGGAAAATTGCCAAAAATAATTCGAAAAAATTTCAGAAAAATTCGAAAATTTGATTTTTTTATGTGCAGCATGTATATATCGAGAACTGGCAACATTGCACATAGTTTGGAAATAAAGAAAAGTTATTTGACAAAGTTATGAGGGTTTTTTCAGTTGAGTGTAACAAAACTTATGTAACAACTTAATACAATTAAACCTAGATTTTTTTCAGAAGATACTGCTACTTATATACATTTGGAGCGTTGGTTTCTTACAAGGAAATAGTCAGGAGTCGAAGTGGCCAATCAGCAAAGCTGCATACGACTGGATGCAGCATAGCACTTGACTCCAAATCTCTCCTTTGTATCTACTGAGCGCCTTATACAAGGTGTCCCAAAAAAAATGTGCACACTGTTTGTGTAAAGCGGGGTTCAACATAGATTTACAGTGTAGAGTGAAACGCCGATCGCTCATTCTTACTGTAGGATTACGGTAGAAACTTCAAACATAAGGTGTCACTGTGAAAAAAGCGGCCGTTTTAAATTTTCAAAAAAATGTGGAAACTTGTGTAATAGGGTTTTCATGGACGCTGAGTTCAATACCCAACTGTTTACAAGGCTGCGATGCTTTCTAAACGGTGTAACCGCACTTTTCAGGAACATTGAAAAAATGGCCCCTATTGCTTACCTCGCATAATTTTTCAATAAAGCATTAAGAATAACTGCGAACTTCACATTTAGAATCAGCAACTTCAATTAGCCCAGTGTGAGAGTATTCAGGTTGTTTTGGTTCCTTTTTGGAACAAAATATAGTCTTTCATGGCTCAAAACCCTCTTCATAGTTTCTACCGTAATCCTACAGTAAGAATGAGCGATCGGCGATTCGCTCTACACTGTAATCCTAAGTTGAACCTCGCTGTACAAAATGGTGCCTAAAGCTTCTCGAAATACTTTATCAAGAGAGTTAGTAGTTTCCAAGTTTCCTCTTTTCTCAACCTTGGCATAGTTAGTAATGTGGTTAGTATGTTAGCAAGCCGTTGCGAGGTTAGTACGAACGTCAGGCCGCCACTAATAAATCGTACTAACCTCGCAACGGCTTACTAACATACTAAGCACAAGAGAGTTAATTACAATCAAACAGTGTGCACATTTTTTGGGACACCCTGTAGACAAGTTATGAACACTTTTATTGCAGGAAAATCTTACACAAAAATTGCGAGATTAGGCACCGTATTGCTTTTAGCTCATCTTTAGCTAAGAGATACAAAAAGTAACATGGCCTGCATAGCCCAGCATCAAGTCAAACATGGCTCTGTATGGCCAAATGTACAATTCGCTTGAAGAATTTCTTTGCAAAATAATGGCTTATCGCTTCGTTCAAAAAGGCGTTCAGCAGTTAACGAAACAGATTTAGAGTGTTCTATTCTGCAGCTGGCGCGCCCAGCTTGTTTGTAATAGGTTGGCACATAAGTAATGCTATTTTTATAGAACTTTTGTTTCTTTGAACGTAACGCATTCATTTTATACCAATATAAAGACTATGATGTAAGCTTCTAATGCACACATTTGCCGGATTTTACGATCTTATGCAAGGGTTGCAGTAGGTTTACGGTATTATGGGAAAAATTTTAGAATGCATCAGATTTTGCTGAAACTTGACCTTTCATTTCAACGACAAATGAATATGATATTCGTGTTCACCGCATAGGATTACTTTTCGCAGCTTAGTTGTTGACAAATTGCCTTCAAAACTTGACGCATTTGACTTGTTCAACTTCTTAAAGGCGCCCCACCTTGTTCTGTGTTTAAATTTCATTTCTTTTTTACTGATTTCAATGTATCCACTTCTAGCTACGTGCTGCCTATAAGTGCTTTTTGATATGTTTAATTCAGGTTTCGCAAGACTTCATGTTTGCCAAGAAACCGTGAAACCTCAATTTTCAGCGGTTTTTAAAAAACGCTTTGATTTTTTGGACTACGTTATCAAAAATCAAACGGTCTGCGCAGACGTGCAGCTTACATCACGGTCCACACGATGTCACAAAACGAGATTGCTACATAAAATAAGAGAAAAATTACGAGAAAAGTTGCAGAACTTATGTGCCAACCTAATATTTGCTTTTTTGACTGCTTCTGACCACCTGCTTATAATCTTAAAATTAGACAGTGGCGTATCGAGGGGGGGGGGGCGCGCGGCCTCCCCGAGAACGGGTCGCGAAATCTTTGAAAGTTACTTATATGGGTTATAAAATTGTGCAAATGACTTGTCTGCACTTGTAAATAATTAAAATAATTTTTTAAATTTTTTAAAAATTCATTTTAGCTTTATAAAAAAATTTTTTCGGGGGCGTGGCTAACGCCACGCCTCCTTTTTCCAGATTTTAGGGGTTGGGGACCCGCAAAAATTTTGAGACACCCCAAAAATTTTTTTGGAGTGCGTGGCTAACGCCACGCACCTTCATTAGAAAAAAATTTTTGTCGCGCCCCCCCGAGCCGAAATCCTGGGTACGCCACTGCAATTAGACAATTGAAAAGAATAGGATTTAGTTTGCAATCTGTAGACAAAAACTAACCTTTTGAAAAGTTCACTCACGCTCAAAGCCTAACCCTAATAAGAAAAGTGAATACGATGAATTTTGATTTTAGATGCGGCTGTTTAAAGTTTTATGAGATTCAAATGGAAAGTTTAGAAGCTTGTTTCAACCATCATTGGAAAGCGCGTGTAAGGGGCTTTCAAGAGGTGTGCAATGTTTTTCAAAGGAAGACTTGTTGGCAAAAAGTTGCCCGAAAAAAGGTTCAGCATGCAATTTTTTATGCACCTAATAATTGTCCCAAGATTATACTGAATTTTTAGCAACTAGTTGTCATAAGATTGGATTAACAAATATTGCGAGCAACATTTCTAAGCGAAAATTTCCTTTGTTACTTGAGGGAAACCTAAAAATGTATTGTACATATAACTGTTTTTTTTTGCCGCCGTTTTCATACAAGATTAAATTTTTTGACAACTTTAGAGTCAAATCTCATGGTTTGCAGACTTCCAAAGTACTATTCAGCTTGGCGCGCAACTATCTGAAACTCCGCTCATCCGATTCCGGGCTCTTGCGTATCGAAATTACATGCTGGTAGCAAGAAAATGCAAAAAATGCAACAAAATTGGGCAAGACAGTGGTAATAACTCGCCATGCATTTCTCCTAACGCATACTTCTATATGTTAGTGTCATAACAAATTCCCACTATTGCTTTCTTGCAATTGAAAGCGTGAGTGGGGAAATTTCTGAAATGGCAAATTTTTCGAAATTATTGCCCATCAATCAATAAAAAGGGGTTGCTTTTCATTAGGTTGTCAAAAAAATAATGTCGTTTTTTTTGCTTGCTTCAACAAAGCAACCAGACTCAACCCAACAAAGGCTAAGGGCCACTATTCGGTAGAGCAAAGCAAGCTCTATAAGACGGCTTTCATGGTTTTGCGCCAAGCTCGACCCATGGAAAGTTCGAACTCAAAATCTGAAAATATCCAAATGTCCAAAAAATTGAAAAAAATCAGATCTTTGTCCGTATGATTTCTACAGGCCTCCAATTCGCACACTTCAATACTTCCGATATGTGATACCCATATGCGCAGTTGCTGTATTTTTTTCCTTGCCTAAAAACGGAGAAAACGAAATTTTTCGTATTTTTCTAAAAGCAATGCTGAGCCGTTCTTGCATATGTAATTTTATACTACAAGCCTATTAAGTATAACTGTAGATTTTGAGCCCATTCCGAGCAGTAGTTTTCGAGAAATATCGAAATCAGCTTTCTTCTTTTCAGTTCCAATGCTAAAAGCGACATTTCTCGAAAACTACTGCTCGGAATAGGCTGAAAATCTATAGTTATACTTACGTAGGCTTGTAGTATAGAATTTTTTTGGGCATTTGGATATCGTCAGATTTTGAGTTCGAACTTTCCGTGGGTAGAGCTTGGCGCAAAATCATGAAAGCCATCTAGTAGAGCTTGCTTTGCTCTACCGAATAGTACCCCTTATCCTTGGTTGTGTTGAGTCTGGTTGCTTTATTAATGCAAGCAAATAAAAAACGACATTATTTTCTTGACAACCTAATAGTTTTACAGTCTAGACATTTAGCTAAAATCTTGCTTTGAGCTACTCCGGGAAAACAGAAAATATTTAACCCTATCTCGCACGACTTGTCGCACTAAAGCACAACGGTAATTTGAACTTTATCTGTCTTTTGATTAAAAGGCAGCGATTCTCAATATTTCACGCATGAGCATCTGACTCGGCAAATTGAGTTTTGCAAGGATTTGTACAAAACATATTTCAAGCAAAAATACTTTTCTCTCGCAAAAAATGACGATTGCCTCTTATGGCACCGAACTTGCAGGTGGACGAAGAGGGCACCGTTGCAGCTGCAGCTACCGTTATCACCATGGTCAAAGCTACGGCTCTGAGACCACAGAAGAAACCCATAACTTTCATAGCAGATCATCCCTTCATATTTATTCTTACCAAGAATGATAGTCCAATTTTTACTGGACAATTTATAGCTTGAACACATCCTATTTACTACGACAGTATTCAAGATAAATTTTTCAGTTACAAGGCTTTTTCGAGTTTATCTTTCGAATAAATTTCCTTGCATTGATCTTTTTACATAGTTTTAACTAACGCTTGAATGTCAAAAATTGCTTTGCTCGCAAAGTTTGTAGCATAATGAAACACTTGATAATCATGATATTAGCTTGGTCCAAAAGTTCTATCGCAGTATATCATGTTCCTTCTAATATCATCTTCGTTACTTTCTATTATGTTTTATTGTAGAGATAAAAATCGAAAAAGGAGAATTTTCGTTTGACGATTTGATGCAATTTTGTTAGAAATCCAAAAATGTACAATAAAATCCCAAAGAACTAGTGTAAAAGTTTTTCAACCTCCTTTCTCTAACTGAATAAAATTTGTACTGAAAATGCCAAAAATCAATCTTCTAGAAAAACTGACTCTCTGCCATTTTTTCCATCATAACTTCTTGAAGAAGAGCCCAATCAGCACAAACTTTGCTCAAATAGAAAAAAAAAGAGTGAAAAACCCATGGCAATCCTGTTTTAGATTTAATTGCACAGTTTTTAGACTTTCAACGGACCTGCTTCAAATCGTCGAATCTCAAAAGATTTGATTTTCCATCATCTCTGCGACAAATGCTCACTGGAGAGCAATCACGATGTTATTAGAAAATGTATGCTTTTCCCTTTTCACTGGTACTTTTGACTTGCAAGATTATTGTGAAGAAAAGAAGCTACAATTTTTTGGAAATGGCGCGAAAGAACTTTCGGACCAACCTAATATCACCATCATTTGAACATTCGGAATTATAGCTGGTCATGGATTTTTTTAAGGCAGTGTCGCACACGACTGCAGTAAAAACCTTAATTGACTTGAATTGACGCAGCATCGTCGAAACTATCTGGACCGTTATATTCTGGGTTTTCACGTCTTATCTACACTCGGCTAACCTACCACTACTTTTACGCTAAGCTTTACGGAATATGAGAAAGAATATGAGCAGGCTGTGATCGAAAGCGATTTCATAATAGTTTTTTTCCGTTTTCGTGATTGCGCATATGTTGCGATTCGGTGTGCTCAGCAAACCCTCGCACTACTGCTCGTCCGCCTGACACCACAACTCTAACTCCAGGATCTTGCGCATCCACGCTAGTGTGCGCACTCCTAATGCGTCCACTCGACGTCCTCATCCCGATACCCGCACGATAGAACGATTCACAATACACGACTAGACTAACATTTACTAGAACATAAACACGAAAAACACCTAAAACTACTAAGTCTACTACTAGAAAAAGAAAAAAAGGCACGGGATGAGCCGCCCCTTCCCCCGTTGCCGATGCCACAAAATGATCCTCTCCAGCGCGTAGTTGCTGGATCTCCACCGGGTCGGCCGCAAATCCCAAACCCTTGTGGGACGGCGCGACCCCTCTCACTCCCGCTGGTATCCTTTACACAAGACGAACCATGATGTTCAGCTGCCCGTCTCCAAACCAAGAATATGACAAAAGCTCAACCGCCCGAAACCGATGATCATCTGCGGGAGCTACTGGAGGCGCTGGCAGTACGAATCATATCGTACAAAATCGATAACACACGAACTCGGAGATGCGCAGACCGCGGCCTGCGCGCCCTTTTATAGCCTGTGACTTGGTAAAGCGCTCAGTAGGAGAGATTCGGGCGCGAATGCGGTATCGCGCCTGGCAACGCGACAATTAGCGCTCCCGGCCTCCTGTAACGAAGAGTGGCTTGCATCGCAAGCCGCGACAGCATATTTCTTGCGTAGAAATTGCCTATACAACGGCAATTTTGAGAAGGCTTTGTTTTGGAAGCAAATCTACCACACGTTCTCTTCTTACCCAATTTTGAGCTCTATCACAAGTTGATCTGAACTTTAAAAGAAGAGACTAATTGTCTTGAGGAATGAAAGATGTATCGGTTTTTTGCAGGAATAGTAGGCATCCCATGCGACTATCGCAGTTTACATAAAAAACTAATGCATAAAGGGTACTGTTTGATAGAGACATTTAAGAGATCTTCTTGGACGTTGTGACCCACCTTAAAGTGGAAATTAACAATAACCCCAGAAGTCGAATCCCGTCAAAAAATTCTTGAAAGCCTGGTTATTATATAGAAAACACAGTGAGTTATATGGCTGCAGCTGCTGGAATTTTTCTAGGCTAAAAATGAAGAGGCAGAACAGGGTAACAATGCAAAAATGTCTCTTTCTCGTGTGTTTTTTGTTTTGAATGTGATATTTATAGATAAGTAGATGCACTGTGAGATAAGATTCATAGCTTCACTTCCAGTGATTTATAAAACAACTTTATATGCCAAACAGCGCGATTGTGTCTGCCAATCCAGAAGGAGCGCTTATACTTCTGCACCATCCTTTCAGAATTGACGTAAGCTTTGGGCTCCGCTGCTAGATATCAGTGGTATTCAAGAGCTGACCCCTGACTCTTTGCTGCGTAGGTATTAACGAATTTATTGAGCCGTGTTTGTCTCATGCGTCGAGCTTACGTCACAATTTGCTCACCATCTATATAGCAATCTAAGCATGCAGTAATACGCTATTCAGGTTGATGAGCAAGGAACCACTGCAGCTGCTGCCACCGTCATCGAAGCAGTGGCGACAGGAGCAATTATAGTTGTTCCTAGAACATTTATAGCAGACCATCCTTTTATGTTTGTTCTAACCAAAAGCAACAATCCCTTATTTATGGGGCAATTTGCTCAAGTATGATTCAGCCTACATTTTATGTAGCTCTCTTTGACTGATTTCGCTCACATCAAAGTAATCTCCGAACTATCCGTGACTGTATCACACCAAAGTTTTCTTCATTTTGATTAGAAAACTATTCATGTGCACTCTTTCTGAATGGAGATATAAAGCCAATGTTCTGTCCAATGTCCATTCAGCAGTAGATTAGAATGCAGAGTTTTCGCAGAGTTAAATATTGTCGAGCACCATACACCCCCCCCCCCCCTTCCACCTTCAGAGATAGTACGAACTAGGATCTCTTCTCCTGCGATGGGGCTACGAACAATGTGGTCGAGCGCAAACTTCAAATGCGGAATAGAAAGAGATTCAAAAAGGTTTTCTAGTGTAAACACAAACCGATTTGAAATGTGCTACAAAAAGCTTCGACAAAGTCTACAAGACATCTTGCTTTTCCATTACAACAACAGTTGAAGAGGCTAAGAAGTTTATGGAAGACACAAGCCAATACATAGGAATGAAAAATATCTGAGTTTTGACCGTCAGCATACGCTAGACCTAACAATATGATTTGAGTGTAGAATTTATGCAGAAGAATGGCCAAGAAGTCCCATGCAATCAAAGAGGTTCACTAGGCACCGGTAAGTGACAGGAAGCAATATCTTGAATGTAAACCTTATAAAGCAAAACTTTGACTACCCTACCGTATCAGAGATTGAAAAGAGGGCATACGCAGTATCCTAGCCCATATTTTGAGTTCCGTGCTAAACTCGATTGTACCTCGCTGTCGCGAAATTCTGCCTTCAATTAGTACTTGGTGAGAAATGGGTTAACGAAAAGGAACGGGAAAGGAAGAGTCAGCAATATGTATCGACTGTAAACATATAAAAGAGTCAAGATTTCTAAGCTTCTTTCTCAGTAATACTATATACATCCATGTGTCAGGGATATCAAGTGTTTCAAAAAATTCCAGAAACGCCGTGTAGCCGTGCCGGAGAATAAATATGGAAAACTATCAAAGAAAGGGAAAATCAATTCTTTCTTGACACGTGGCAGACTCCAGTCTCGATAAAATCATTTTAAAAAGCTTCTTTTGAAAATAGAGTACGTGTTAGAAAAACAATGTGTTGGAAATTGGGCAGTGTTAAGAAAGATCGCAATTTATAGATACGCCCTGCACAACCACAGGCATGTATTGCGATTCAATGATTGCCTGCAACATTCAATTCAAGCACCCTCAATCGAAAGAAAGGCGTAATTATTTTCAAATCTTCTTCACTTTGTATGCGAATTTTCAAAACATTATAAATGGGAATTTCCGAAATACCGTAGACAACATTTTACATATTATTTCTCCTTTTTCAAACATAACAGCCAACAGAAGCCAACAGAATAGCCACAAATTCGCGAATGTCAAATAATTTTTTTATTATATGACATTTGGCTAGCATAAGCAAAGCATTTGCTTAATAAATACTGCAGTTTTTCGCCTTAGGTTTGACAGCAACCCACCTCAACATGGATACGAGAGCCCTGTCGCGCCCAAACTTAGAAAGGTATGACCTAGATTATAATTGGCAAGTACATGCTCAATTCTAAAATGCATTTGCAGTGCCTCCGTGCAAGTCTCTGAGATAAACTTTGGTTTGAATATGCTTCGGCAAAGTCCTGCAACTGAATCGATGGTAGTATCACCAGTTTCGGTCATCTTCGCACTTGCCATGGTTCAACTAGGTGCGAGAGGGCGTACAAAAATGCAAATCAATCGGGTGATCGCAGATGGTATGTAAGCAGCTAAATCTTCCACTTTCTTTTAGAAACTTACTTGAGCACAAAGCGAAGCAATCAGTGGCAAGGTAAAGAAAAAAAGAATGAAGAAAGCTTAGGGGCAGCGTCCCACCAGAATGGGGGTACCTGGCTCTCGTAATGATGTAATAGTAGCCCCCCTACCTAAGCGATGACTGAAGTTCGGAGCGAAAAACGGGGTCTACCAAGCCTGAAATTTGCTCCGAAAGTGGGCCAAATCTTACGGTAGGCGCAAGGTGCATGCAAGGTATAGAGACGCAGAGTAGTTGCGGGTCCCTGCGCTCATGATGTGTGCGCTATACGCACTCTGGCCCTGCAAATCGATATTGCCGTGTGGGCGGCGTTCGGCCCTACCTTAAGATTCGGCCACTTTCGGAGCGAATTTCAGCCTTGGTAGACCCCCTTTTTCGCTCCGAGCTCCAGTCATCGCTTAGGTAGGGGGTCTACTATCACATCATTACGAGAGCCAGATACCCCCATTCTGGTGGGACGCTGCCTTTCGGGCAAAGTATTCAGTGACTGCGACCTTTCGCATGTGGTGTATAGAGACCCTCTCAGACAATCGCAGGAATACCTCCGGTGGGCAAATGGCGCGAGTATTCCACTTCGCGCTCTGGAGCACTCCGGAGCCCTGCTATTTCACCCGTTTTGTTGCTCCGGGGCTCTCCCAAATCTGGCGCACCTCCGGAGCAGAGATTTGCGCGTCCCGGAAAGGGGTTCCATTCGTTCTCCGTGACGTCATAAGCAGGCGAATGGGACCCCTCTCCGGGACGCGCAAATCTCTGCTCCGGAGGTGCGTTAGATTTGGGAGAGCCCCGGAGCACCAAAATGGGTGAAATGGCAGGGCTCCGGAGCGCTCCAGAGCGCAAATATGTTTCCGCAAGCCTTTTCGTCCTTCTAACTTAATGCAAGTCCAAAATTTGTTTGTAAGGAAGGTTTTGCAAGTGATAAAACACCGTCTCAGGCTAAGTCCTCCGGTATACTTCACGCGATTTCAGTCGCCATACGATTTGGCAATTTGCCTGATCTCTTTAAATCCAAGACTGGCAAGCTACCAATGCATACCGTACCGTATATAATATTTGCAAATCGATAGAATGCCCTACTTCGGTAAATTTCAAACGACCTTAGGCTCTGGGCATACCTCACAGTGTAATAACTCTTTTTTTAATAAGATTCGCGGCGAGTTCCGAAAGGGAGAGATTCAATTGGCGGAAGATGGATGGATCTATGTGGATCTATGTGGACCATGAACAAGATTACAAAACATTTATTATAAAAAACGGTACTTTTCCGTTATCCGGACCCATTTTTTCAAAGAAGGATAATGCTTCTTTCTTTGCACCACAGGGTGTCCCAAAAGTATGTATGCACTGTTTGATCATTAATATCTCTCTTCCCAAGAAGTCTTTCGCCTTGCTTTAGGTACCGTTTTGTAGAGCTGGCTTCAACTTAGATTTGCAGCATAGAACGAATCACCCATCTCTCTTCATTACTGTAGGATTACGGTAGAAACTTGAAACATATGGTGTCAATGTGGAAAAAGCTGCCGTTTCAAAATTTTTCAAAAAAAGTGAAAACTTATATAATAGGGTTTTTATGGCCGCTGAGTTCAATACTCATCTATTCACAAGATTGCGAAGCCTTCTCAGCGGTGTAACCGCACTTTTTAGGAACCTTGAAAAAATGGCCGCTACTTCTTACCTGGCGTAACTCTTCAATGAAGCATCATAAAAAGTTGGGGACTTTACAGTTAGAATCAGCAACTTTAATTAGCCTAATGTAAAAGTTTTCAGGTTGTTTTGTTTCCTTTCTGAGGCAAAATATGGCCCTTCATGGCTCAAACCCTCTATGAAGTTTCTACCGTAATCCTACAGTAATGAAGAGAGATGGGTGATTCGTTCTATACTGCAAATCTAAGTTGAAGCCAGCTCTACAAATTGGTACCTGAAGCAAAGCAAAAGACTTCTTGGGAAGAGAGATATCAACGATCAAACAGTGCATACATTCTTTTGGGACACCCTGTATATTTGGCCCCACCTTGATAGTAAAAAGTGTCAACCTTCTGCCACGTGTCAAGAAAATTTGACATGCCATCTACATGGTTGACAAGTTTTACCAAGAGTTTGTTTGCTCAAACCTAGCAACATGGGTTCAACCTGTTTTTGGTCAATAATGACCCCATTTTCGATTGAACAATTTAAAAAATGACCATTGTCATAATAATAACGTCACCCTCTATCAACGAACATACTAGATATGCCCAGAATAGAGAAGTAAGCCAGGGTTCCATCATTTGAGCGGCGAAACAAGCAGCAGCGAGGTACTACAAGCCATCATTTATAGACTTTCCTGGCTAAACTTGCATGGCGGAAAGTTTGAAGAGAGATACATTCTTGAATCATTGCTAGAAGCAATCAAGATATTCTAATAATGGTTCTAGATTATTTTGTTCTTCTATAAATCAACTGAACAGCTTTTAGTGATTACAAATGCCCTTATACCTCACCGGAATTGATTTCGAAAAAACATGTCAAAATGGACTAGAACGTGTCAATTTTTCCCCGACCCGTGGCGGGGAGGCAGTCCTCGTAGAATCCATAAAGAGTTGTACTTAGACTACAGAACGTATTTTATAAGAGCCTTATAAAAAAATGGGTCCGGATAATGGAAAAGTACCTAAAAAACAAATGAATCAAATCGAGTGGTTACACATAGATCCAACCATCCGTCGTTGGTCAGGAGGCCAAGATATTTATACAAGACAATTCTAATTCAATCCTTTGACCACAAAGAGTAATGAAAAGATGTTGCTCAGAAACACAACATTGAAGTTATTGAAAATTAAAAATAGAAGGATGCATTGACGATTAACAAGAACACATGCAAATTTGTCGATGACAGTTCAAAAGAATACTGCGGTGACATGTTATTGTCGCTATCACCGCTGGCAGTTTAAGTACAACCTTCATACACTATTACTCTTCCATACTTCTCAGTCGTAGGTCATGGTCGTCATTACGATGCCATTTCAGTCGCGACGCGATTCAATACTCCAGTTGTTCATGACTCATGTAAGCGGAGATTTTGAATGTACAGAAGATAGGGCATTTTATCAAACTACGAAAGTTATACATTCTGCGCAACTGAGGTCTGCCAGTATTGAATCTAAAGACATCTGGCAAATTTCCAGACTGCTTGGCGATTGAAATCGCTTGGAGTATGCTCAGGGTCTTACGATGAGTTTTACGCAGTCGCGTCGCGACTGAACGTGAAGTATGCTCGAGACCTCACGTGATGAGTGCTCAAGCTGTAAAAATCTTTTCAATCAGCATTCAACTGTGCCGAAAATTCCTTACAGCACATTCACAAATACAATCTTTTTTAACAGATACGTAACCATATAGGCTAGATCGCAAATAATCCTCAATTCCATCCAACAAAGGAATGGTCAGAAGTTGAAGTGGCAAATCCAAACAAGTTGCCTATTAATCGAATCAGCGTTCAACGCTGATTTTGAATCTGTATTTCACCTCTACTTAGAACCTTTGTTATGGAGTAGAGGACTATGAGTCGCCGAATGTGGGGGGATCCCGAGAAAATTTCTTGTAAAAACGCACACCCGTGCATGTGAAGGGTGCGTATTTCTTGCAAATAGCGGCGGGGCTGCCCCCTTTCGGCGACATGTAGTCCTTTACTCAAAGCTATAAGCAGTTTCATTGCGAAAAAGTCGTGCTTAAAAATTGCGAAATTGCACTTTCAGCACATCTTCAAGCTTTAAAAATATAAAGCAACCTATCTGCATGTTTTGGCCCAGCATTAAGCCGAACATGGCTCTGTGATGCCGAATTTGCGCTTTGCATTCACGATTTCCTCAGAAAAGTGGCTTTAACGGCTCATAACTTCGCCCATGTGCAGATATAGAACGCAGAATCGAAGTCAGCGTTACATGCTGCATTTAATGGTTTGCATCGTGTAACGGCATATGGTGTTGGATTGGCTACTTCGATTTCTGACTATTCCCTTGTAAGGATTTGGAAAGCACTTCACCTCTTCCCAACATAATATTTTATCCCGAGCTTGTTATAGCGTAATGCCAAAGGATTTGCGAGAGGACATTGTGAGGTGAGAAGAGCTCCTTCGAGAGACAGATAATTATAGAAGAGTTTAACTCAAGAATTGTGCGTACAGCATTGAAGTTGAGACAGGCAAATGGAATCGTGAAAAAATCTAATGAACTTCTCATGCGGCCAGCAGAGTACAGTAGCGAGGGGTGCCGGAGTCAAAGAAGCAGTTCGTGGTGAAGTTGACATTTTAGGAGAGTTGATGAGAGCAGTAGGTCCAAAAACCATCGAATTTTGAGGTTCGTGGATGAGAATTTGTTTGATTACTGATGTTCAGTTCAAGTTCCGGTTATAAATAATCATCATCTCAAGGAATTAGACCAGAACGAGAGAAGTTGTGAGAAGATAACTTGCCATGACTTCACGCTAAATTCCAATCGTGCGGAAAAATTTGCGACGGCCGTCTGGGTTGACTGTAAGGGAACGGCCATAGGTTGTCGGTGTTGTCGGTGTTGTCGGGGTTGTCGGGGTCAGAGACAGTTTAGAGAGCGCGCGAAACGTGGAGGCCATCATAGGTATTACAACGATCGGCAACCTCGCAACCCCGACGACACGGACAACCTATGGCCGTTCCCTAAAAACTGACAAAAAAAACACGGCACTTTTCACAAAGTTTGCGATGGGGATGCAACAGAGGAGAAGCGCGCATCGCTCGTTTACCGCTGGGCTGTTTCAATACTTACAACAAAAATGCTGGGTTGTTTTGCGCACTGGCGTACCCAGGATTTGCGTTCGGGGGGAAGGGGGGCGACAAATTTTGATGAAGGTGCGTAGCGTCAGCCACGCATCCGAAGGAATTTTTGTTACGCTTTCCAAAATTTTTGAGGGCCCCTAACTCCGAAATTTCAGAGAAAAGGGGGCGGGGCGCGACTAAATTGAATTTTTAAAAAAATTTCAGAAATTACTTTAACTAGTTACAAGTAGCGAGTCATTTGTCACTCACTAGTCATTTTTATACTCATGTAGGTAACTTTTAAAAATTTCGCGACCCATTCTCGGGGATGCCCTCCCCCCCCCCTCCCCCCTCGGTACGTCACCAGTTTCAAGACGAGGTTTCTGTCAAAAAATAGTAACAAAGTTTTCGTCAAAAAATATAAATCGCGATGCTTGTTGCTGAAAGCTCCTTAGTGAGTGCTGTGCGAAAAGGACTCGATAGGGAACGGCCATAGGTTGTCGGTGTTGTCGGTGTTGTCGGTGTTGTCGATGTTGACGGTGTTGTCGGTGTTGTCGGTGTTGTCGGTGTTGTCGGTGTTGTTGGGGTTGCCGAGGTTGCCGGTCGTTGTAGGACCTCACGATAGCCTCCACGTTTCGCGCGCTCTCTAAACTGTCTCTGACCCCGACAACATCGACAACACCGACAACACCGACAACACCGACAACACCGACAACACCGACAACACCGACAACACCGACAACACCGACAACATCGACAACACCGACAACCTATGGCCGTTCCCATAGAATACTGCTTGGTTTTTAATAGAAAATCGGTTTCATGCCCATTGCAATTGGCGAAATAATTGCATTCTGCTCAAAGTTGAATGTATTAGGTTGTTACATAAGTTTTGTTACACTTTACTTCTAACGGCGATATGTCATACACATCATATTCTTTACAGGGCTCCAGAATACCATTCGATAGAGCAAAGCAAGCTCTACAAGATAATGCAGAAATTTGAACCAGCTCCGACCCACCGTATGTTTGCATCCCGAAAATGAGTCGCACTGAAGGCTCAAAAAATTGCGAAAAATTCATATTTTTGTTCAGGAAAATCCTCCGCATCTCTGACTCGTTCACGCAGATTGCCCACTATATCGAACACTACACTACATGTGTACCGTTTCGGTATTTTTTCCTCATCTAGAAACCGAGAAAAGGAAAATTTTGTATTTTTTACAAAAACGAAGCTATGTTGTTTCTAATCATATAGCTGTACACTACAAGCTCTAAGAAGTATAACTGTAAATTTTTAGCTTTCCAGCAGCCCTAGTTCTTGAAAAATACCAAATTTAGTTTCTCTCACTCGGGTGTTCGATGCTAAATTAGGTAATTTTCGAAAACTAGAATTTCTGGAAAGCTAAAAATTTACGGTTATACTTCTTAGAGTTTGTAGTATACAGCTATATGAATAGAAACAACATAGCTTCGTTTTTGTAAGAAAAATACAAAATTTTCCTTTTCTCGGTTTCTAGATGAGGAAAAAATACCGGAACGGTACATATGAGTGTTTGATATAGTGGGCAATCCGCGTGAACGAGTTAGAGATGCGGAGGATTTTCTTAAACAAAAATATGAATTTTTCGCAAATTTTTGAGCCTTCAGTGCGACTCATATTCGGGATGCAAACATACGGTGGGTCGGAGCTGGTGGAAACTTCTGCATGCAATTTTTTAGAGCTGGCTTTGCTCTATCGAAAGGTGCCCCGGAGCCCTATTAAAATTATGAAGTTCACGACTTATCGTTGTAAGCATTTAAAGTGTAACAAAACTTATGTAACAACCTAATAGAAGTGAAAAGGTGGAAAGGATAAGTGCAGTCTGCTGTAATAAGCCATTGTTGCCAACAATGCAGGTCGTCCCAAAACTATATAAGCACCGATTGATTGTTATTTCTTTTCCTACAGGCCTTTTGCCGACATTCAAGCACCATTCTGTAGAGCTGGCTTCGACGTAGTCTTATATATAAAGCTGAATGTCTGTTTGTATGTCTGTATGTATGTCTGTCTGTCTGTACGTACGTATGTTCCGAATAGAAATTTTTATTTTTGAACCGGTCCGGCCAAACTTGGCACACATACACTTCGGGACCGGGCGTGTGTCATAGGCTACTTTCCGTCATCGATCGACATCGATTTTATCGATTTTTTGCAAAATTTGAGCTACGGGGCTGGGAGTTGGCACAGGGGGGTAATCGAGCATGCTGATTACGAATATAATAATGACAGGATCGGGCGGAGCCGGCTTTGCCAGCTAGTTTACAATATAGAGCGAAACCTCCATCCCTCTTCTTAGGCCCGTATGCTCGTACATCCCCGCGGGGAGGGGAGGGGATTTGAGAGGGGAAGCGTCATATTTTGCTAGTCTTCATATCTTTCTCCTTCTTTCTCTGTCTTGCTTATGAAGTTTCTCATACATTGATACCTGCGCATAACGGATGTCAGGTTGCTGCCATATAAGATTGGTGTTTTGCCATTTTGTGTGATCCCCAGGGGATCAGTCCACATCTTTAAAGCCATTTATCTTCCTGAAAAAAATCAATAAAAACGCTGCAAAATTGTACTGAAGGTATAGTACGATACTGTTGAGCATGTTTTCAACAGAACAAATGGGATCTGAAGATTTTGATTTTTTCGATAATTCCTTGCTCGCGAGCAGAGGTTCATCGAAAATTTTGATATCTTGAGATTTCACTCATTTCTACCATAAACATGTTTAGCAGCGCTGTAGTATATCCTCAGTACAAATTTAGAGCATTTTCACTGAGATTTCAGGAAGATAAATGACTTTGAAAATGTGAGGTGATCCCCTGGGGATCCCCAGGGGATCAGACGAAATAGTGATTATCTAATGTTGTACGGCAGTAGCCTGCGTCCGTTATGTATCAGTGTATGAGACCTTCAAAAGCAAGACTTAGAAAGAAGAAGAAAGATATGTAGACTAGAAATATGACAATTCCCCTCTCAGTTCCTCTCCCCTCCCCTGGGGATATACTTGCATGTGGGCCTTAATGTAGGTTCACTGCAGTAACTGTGAGGAGGTTAGGATTACAAGCCATTAACTACCTCATGTTACCTCAAAAAGCGACCCCTCCCCACCATCCCCCTTGTATTGTAGACTACCCAGGTCGCTGTTTCCAAGTATCTGCTCTTTAGCGTAATGCTTCCTTCATAACTTATGCCAGGTACACAGTAAAAGCTGTTTTCTTGTGTTTCTTGAATGCGATCGAACCATTCAAAAGGATTCAGAAACTTCCTTGGACTTTACATATGCTGTTAGATATCTTAGGATCCTTTACCACTCCTTTCTATCTTGATCCTACAGCAGTAAAGATGTTAAAGCCAGCTCTACAAAATGGCACCCAATGTTCGGCAAAAGACTTTGTGGGAACATAGATATTGACGGTTAAACATCATACATATTTTTACCACACCATTTTTAGTAGTATTATCCTTGACATTGTGGGTAAAAAACCATTGACCGTAGTAAACGCCCATTCATCTTAAATGACCTGAGACTAGTCATTCAGAAGAACTTTCCAGGGTAAACCTGAGACCGCCCACATTCCCGCACTCTAGAATAGTCAGTTAAACAGAAGACCGTCCTGCCAGTGCCACGGTCATTCAACGTAATGCCACTTAGTCAAGGATGGATCCTAAGGTAAACTGGGAGAGATAGTGTGCAGACGGGGTAGACAATCCTATCAATTGCTCGTAACTAACTTACGTGACAATTTAGTTGACTATCATTGTGAAGCAAAACTCCCAAAACTGCACAATTCCGGGGGCCTAAATGCGAAAAGATCTATGAACAGCTTCTTTTGGCAAGGAAAGCAAATAAAGCTTCCTTTCTTTTTTTTTCGCAGAGTTCGCTTAGTTTTTTTTTGTTGAAAACTTGCATTATACGAGAATATGTCTAATTATATATTATTTATGTTCCAAGAATTCAGTTTTTCAATCTTCGTTAAAATTCTTATTTCTGTTTTGTCTGTCCATTGGCTAGGTGATATCCTTGATATCGGTCATCATCGATTTTTTGCGATAGTGTGGCCGCAAACAAAGATGCCCGGCGATGCCGCAAAAACTCGTCAGTAACCGGCCTTGAACTGTGGCACTGCGGGTTGAATAATAACCACCTAGGCGTTGGACGCTAAAGTGCTTTCTTTTCAAGAACGCACAAGATCTTCAGGTCCAAAAGGATCTCTGCTGTGCAGAGGTTTGTACTGGTTCTACTCTTCGCATCTCATTCTGTGCTCGCAGATAGCTCTGAAACTCACAAGGCCCCACCGATCATTACGAATAAATTGTAAACAACCACTCATTGAAGTTTTGAGATTGATAACTTTAGAAGAGAGAAGGTTTGTCCAAAAGATTGAGCAAACATCCCCTCAAATTGTTAGGTAAAACTTGACAAATTGACAATCTACGCAATTATTCCCTTTTGGCGCTGGTTTGGTAAGAGTAGACTTTTTGCTCACATTTTGGAATGAAGTCCATGGTTTGCGGTCTGCTTGTCAAACACATCCATGACTTTGCAAGAAGTCCAACTGCCGACCCACTCTGGATGGCCAAAAGTCGTTTGACGCATGGTTCTCAGAGGTTCCAATTATCGCTTTGGCTTGCGCTTTTGCATAGCTTACCTACATGCCCATTGTATGGTATGATCGAAGTTCTAACTCAAAACCTTTACTGTAGCTCTACGAATTTCGTGACACACACACTTCTGAATAAACAGCTTTTCTTAGAGAAAATTCTCAAGCAGAGACCACTTTCATAGTGCTAATGGAAGGGGTGGAGAACTAATTGGGCATGAGGAAGGGTTAGATGTTGTTATTATACCGGTGCCGCAGTTCTACTTATTTTGCTCTATTTAAAAAAATGGGCCATAGTTATAAGTAAATATTCGTATATTTGTCTCAGCTGTCTCCCACACGCAATATGTTGTAATTTCAATGTTAAATACTCATGATTTAGGAGCTACCGACGATGCCATTGTAGGCTTCTATTCGGATCTTTTCAAGAACATCAACGACTCACGTGGAGTACAGGCAAGAATCGCTAATGGTTTCTTCGTGAAGTAAGTTAGTCTGCCTGTGTCCATAATTTTTGAAGAACAAGTAGAAGACCGTTTACAGCGGGTTCAGAAATGGAAAATAGCAATGGCAGGTATATCTGGTTTGGTTTGGTTGTCTCATACAGTTGCAAACATATCTTAGTAACACAAAAGTTTCCAATAAAACAATAAAAGCATTCTACATGAGTTAACACCCAATGAATGCACCTTGCACATCATTTATTTGTAAAGAATCAGAGAAAAACCTCTGCGGTCCAGAAGTATTGATAGTGCGTATTGATATTCTAGTTCCAAATAGCATGACTCTTTGAGTTAAAAGCAGCTTCCAGCCAGACCTGGAAATATCGCGATTTCACATGAAAAGTAATTTTGGGCCCTAACTAAGGCGCTGCCCAAGCGGCACTGTAGGTGGCTCACTAACGCCTGCGATATACGCCTAGGACTGGACCCCAGGGTCATATTCGCATGAATTCATGGCAGTCTTGCGCGAGGACCCATGCGTTGCGCCAAAAATCCATGCGAAATACGATCCTGGAGTCCAGTTTCGAGGGGAATATCTCAGCCGTTAGAGGACTACAGTAGAGTAGATTTTCCGCTTAAGATAGTGTGCTTGCACAGAAGGTAAAATGCATTAGAATTTGCTCGTGAGAAAATAGCTTCGACTGTGACGTCGGTCAGTTGCGCGCGCAATATGCCGGTAGTGCTGGCGCAGTTACTTGTTCACGCGCAAATTTTACCGCATTTCATGAACTGTGCGCACACTATATCAAGCGGAAAATCTACTCGACTGTACCTGAACTGCCGGATGGGGAGTGGCTTAGTTAGGGCCCCAGAATTACTATCCACGTGAGATCCGTATGTGTTCAGACTTGCCTGGACGCTGCCTTCAAAGGCAGATCCGAGCTCGACGATCACGCCTATTTCCCTCGGACGGTCAACCCCTTATGAACGAAATCTCCTCCGCCTTGACGTGTTTTAACATGACCAACATAATCGAACTTACAGCGTTTACCTGTTAATACTCGCTTTCGGCAAGGATAACACCATTCGTCCAGGTTTTCCCAAAATAGCCACAAAAGGTGGTTTTCTGAGAAATTCACGCTTTTTGAGTCCCATATTCAGAATCAGCGCCATGGAAAGGCCTGGATAACATAAAAATATAGAAGTCGAGAATCTGCCTGGACGCTGCCTTTAACGACGTACGCCGCGTGGGCAGTGTACGAAGCCACAGTGTGTTTGGCATAAATTGTTCCTCCATTTCAAGCGGTAAATCATGCAAGATGATATAAGACACACAAATTTGCTAATCGCGTGTGCAGAGTAACTCATTTTTTCTAGTATTTGAATGATTATTGAGAACTAGCTGGCTTACCCGGCTCCGCCCGGCCCTGTCAATGCTATGATTAAGGTTTTATCCCTATCCCTGTAGAACCCTTCATTGTGTTTTCTACATGCAATTCCCTACTCCCGCTGTGTTAGTAATTAGCATGCCCACCTGCCTCCCCCAATAACCCCCAGCCCCATGGCTCAAACTTTGCAAAAAAAAAACAATAAAACCGGTAAAAGTATGGATAATTCTGAAAACTGATGGCGCTATTCGGCTATCCGGCCCCAAAATGTTTTTTGGTGGATCTTGCTCAAAGTCGGTACATGGGGATTATTAAAGCCGCTAATGACGAATATCGTAGTTATTTCGCGCGATATAGCGCCATTTTTTGGGTTTACGTTGGGTACACATAAGAAACTAAAATCATGGATTTCGATGAAACTTTGAGGGGGCTAATTGACATGCTGATAACGAATATCATTCTCCTCGCATTTTGAGGCGATTTCACTAAGTTATGGTAGGTAAGCTGCAGAGAGGCGAAATCTCAGTTTTGGCTGAAACTCGGTCTAGAGAGATTCGAACTTCTGACCACGTCTAAAACACTCTTGTTGCGTTTTGAGACCTTTTCGCAGAATCACGGTGGGTACATGGCAGCGGGTAAAAATCATGAACCTGCCTGAAACCTTGGCAGAAAATTACCTAAAGTGCTGTTTCAAGAATATCGTGCTCAATTCCCACGTTAGAGGCAATTCGTGTGGTATAGAAGTTTCCCACGACCGTAATGCTTTCCCTTATAGGACCACTGCCGCGCGCGAGACACCCTTCGGCGGCTTTTGCCTAAGCAAGAACAGGGGGAGGCAGATTTGCCGCGTGCGTTACGCGTTGGGACAGGTTATCAGGATGGCGTTGGAGACCGTCATGCAAAACGACCGTTTCCCCATTTTGTGAATATCTGGGATCTGAATTGGCCCGAAAGCGAAAAAATGTCTATTCAAACCCTGCAGCTCACCATAGCTTCACTATTGCGTTATGCCAGCGAGCAAGCATCATATTCATAAGCGTTATACTTGTGAACCGTTACAGGTAAGGTTTTGAGCAAATCTGAAACTTCGACCCATCTACACCCACCGTAACTCAAGGAAATGCACTATCCTGCAGAATCAGCATGATATTCATATTCAGCGCGCTAAATGACCATCCTAGACGAAGTTTAAAGCAAATCTATGTTTTCGACCCCATGCCATATAACTACCATAACTCTATGAAAAGGTCCCAATATGCAAAGAGAGATGATAATCGTAATTAGCATGTCGAATAAGCCATATGGACCGAACTCCAGCCGAATTTATGATTTTGACTTCTTACCGTACACCTATCGTGACCACAAGGGAAGACGTTCTGCGGAGAAAGTGTGGTATCTGTAATCAGCATGTAAAGGGCCGGGCATACTTCACGCGATTTCAATCGCGACGCGATTTGGCAATTCGCCAGAAGTCTTCGGATCCAACATTAGCAAACTGCACATGCACAGTGTGTATAACTTACGTAAACTGATGAAATGCCCTATCTTCTGTACATTTATAATGTGCTTACAATGAGTTATGGACACTTGGAATATTGCCAAATCGCGTTGCGATTGAAATCGCTTGAAGTATGCACGGCCCTTAAGATAACCCTTATACACGAATTTTGAGCAAGCTCTACCACAAAATAATTTTGGGGCTCGGATAGCCGAATAGCGCCAAACTAATATCGAACTCGTAATCAGCCTGCTCGATTACCCCCCTGTGCCAAATCCGAGCCCCGTAGCTCAAACTTTACAAAAAAATCGATGAAATCGATAAAAATAATGGACGATCTCAAAAGCTAATATTGTAATCGTAATCAGCATGCTCAATTACCCCACTGTGCCAACTCCCAGCCCCGTAGGTGAACTCTGCAAAAAATCGATAAAAATCGATAAAATCGATATCGATTGATGACGAATGGTAGCCTATGACACCCGCCAGGGCCCGAAGTGTATGCGTGCCAAGTTTGGTCCAGATAGGTTCCGAAATGGAATTTTCTATTCGGAACATACGTACAAACATACAGACAGACATACAGACAGACAGACATACAAACAGACATTCAGCTTTATATATAAAACTAGTTGACAAACCCGGCTTCGCCCGGGCCTGTCAATAATATATTTGTAAACAACATGCTCGATTACCTCCCTGTGCCAACTCCCAGCCCTGTAGCTCCAATTTTTCAAAAAATCGATACAATCGATATCGATCGATAACGAAGAGTAGCCTATGACACCCGCCGGGGCCCGAAGTGTATGTGTGTCAAGTTTGGTCCCGATCGGTTCAGAAATGGAATTTTCTATTCGGAACATACGTACAGACACACCATACAGACACATAGACAAATAGATATTCTGCTTTATATATAAGATTCTGAGATATATAGATTTTCTGCGTAGCTTGTTTCTGTTTTGAGCGATTCACTGAGTAAGAATATGTTTCAAATTAGTAAATGATACCGCGAATAATGAAATAGAAGATGTATCTGATATCAATATATGACCGGCCTTTCTATTAGGTTGTCGCATAATTTCTGTTACACTTTTTTTCTAAATTTTCCAGTAAATTCTAGAAGCTTTCTGAAAACCCAAAATTTGCAGCACCAACACACCCGGCTTTTCTTTCTTAATATTTGCACAAAAACAGAGACAGCGTGCCGCAGGGTGGCGGGTTTTGATAGCAAGAGAATTCTAAAGGCGATGCGTAAGATTTGGCAGCTTTTACCTTTTAGATTTTACCTTCTCTGATGCCTGTCGATGCCGTAAGATTTGGCAGCTTTTACCTTTTAGATTTTACCTTCTCTGATGCCTGTAATGCTCCACCTTATACGAATGAGAGCCGATCATGCATAAGATAAGAGGAGGAAAACTTGTATTCTGCTTCATCTTCACTGTTGCTGGAACGGCCTTTCAATTGATCACAACACCAGTATAAAGCAGAGAATTTGAACGGCATCACTCCATTTCACTCTGATGACCACAAAAAAATCAATACTTTGAGTTGAAGCTTGAAGGTGCCCGGGGCAGATTTGAGAGCACCCCAATTCCAACGTTGACTGAAGCGGGACCCCAAGCGATCCATAGTTTTGCAACCAACGAGGCTCCAATGAAGCTTTTAGGAATAGAAGATCGCATAAATATTGCGGCGTAACCGCGATGTAGTCCTCTTCAGCAAAGCGAGAAAGCGTGGCAGGATACGCCGACGCAGGACAATTGTCCCGGTGCAATTTCTGCTTCGCCATAACAACACTAAATCGAAAGGCAGCAGGGCTTGTAGATTTACGAACTTGCAAACTACTCTTCATCCTCGCGTTGTATATTTCGCTTATAAATGTTTTTCGTCAGAACCTAACACTTTATAAAGGGTGCCAATAATTGCGTCAACTTTGCAGTAGCGCCACAAAGGAGTGCTCAAGTTATCAATTATGCCATGCCCAAACTAGGTGTTACCAAGATAGCTAGAATTACCATCCATTATCTCCTTGCAGACTTTGGGCTACGGGAGGGGGGAGGTATTGCATTATGTTGATAGGATTAAAGCGAAGGGTACCCAGCTAGTTTATCAATGAAATAAGTCATTTATTCGCGATTAATGTTTCCAATCTCAAGATAATCCATCAAAAGCTAGCATTTCTTGACAAGAACAGATCCGGCAATCTTAAATAAAAGAAAAAAAGGTTCTTTGGAATACTCCGTTTCGTTCTTTTCCTTAGACGGAGTAAAGAAGCTCAGAACTCTCCCCGGAACTCCTCAGCAAGGAAGGAGAGTTCATGAGTTCTGTGTATATTTTGAAACAGTTTTAAGACAAAATTTTTTTATAAAAATTGTTGTAAAAATTTGGCAACTTACGTTTTTTATATACTCCGTCTTATATTATAATATATTATATAACAATAGTAATATATGATATATCATTTTTGTTGATTATATACTATATAGTAGAGTAGTGACCATATTGGTAGATGAAAGAATAAAATGAAACATGCTAGTGTTTTTGTAGTTGAATTTATTTATTATGACATAACTCATTTTGATGCACTACTTTACTGAATTGGTTGTTTATAGTAGATTTATATTTAAATAACTATATTGATTTAAAATATGTAATATTGATTAGGATTGAATGATTTTGTATAGTTATAGATTGGTGTATGACATGTATTAATTAACTATAATTTGTGTAGATTATGATGTAGAATGTGTAATAATTTTTTAATTTTATCACAATTGTAAAATTTGTATTTATATAGTATAAAATTATTTTTATGTAAGCATTTGAAAATATTAGGTCGTTCCGAAAGTAATGTCGCTTTTTCGAATGAACGCCACTATTCGTGGAATCAACATTTTCAACAGATCTTAAGAGCATTCGATGCAGCATTTCATCCTCTTTCTAATGGTTGTAATTTCATTGCATAATATTCAATGAGCTCTCGAAAAATCACCAAAATCTGCGACTCATGCTTTTTGCCATGGTCAACTTCGGCTATTTTTCTAAATTTTTGTACTTATCCTTCGAAGAAGTACAAGTGACTGGTAGATAGAACAAACCCTATAGAACATAAAGCAATTTTTTCTTTCCCTTAGCTTGCTTCTTACATCTTCTGGAATCAATTTTTCAATGGTATCAGATTCCATATTTGATCAACTTAGCTTCACAAAACAACAATGGGCAAGCAACTCGGGTGTCATTCGACGCAGCTTTTCCTCCTCTTCCTATCTGCTGTTTTTCGTTTCCGATTCATCAAGTTTTCCGGGATAAAATCATCATAATTCAGGTTTTCCAGGGCGCCCCAGGCTGTACCCAAAGTTTTCGAAAGTTGCTAATCTGAAGCGGTAAACGCTCATTTGCTTTGTAAAATTAGTGTCAAACCATAATCCATCTTTATAAGCTTCAAAATCCGAAGATTTATTGGTGTTTGTTGCATTTGTGTCTGAGGCAGGCCTGCTAAAATTCGGTGGTTCCATCAAAAAATCTATACAAAAATTATGACGAGCTCTGGAAAGTAGAAAAAAGTTGTGCTGTTTTCTGTAGGGTTTGCTCTATCCATCCATTACCTGGACTCCTTCCGAGGGTTGTTGTAAAAATTTAGAAAAATTGTGAAACTTCGCCCTCTCAAAAAGCATGGGTCGCCGATTTTGATAATTTTTCGAGAGGATATTGAATATTGTGCAGAATTTATATAACCATTAGAAAGAGAATGAAATGCTGCATCAAATGCTACCAGAATCTTCTTCAGATCTTTGCTCCTCGAGAAGTGACGTACGTTTAAAAAAAGCGACATTACATTCGGAACGACCTAATGTTTGAGTAAATCATATTTTCATTGTATCCATTGCAAATAAGTAAATTTCGTAACTGTATTATTTTTTTGATAAAATCGTCAAGATAAGTGCAAGTACGGGCAATTCTTAAAGTTTCTGTGTAAATAATTGCGTTTTTAATGTGTTTGGATACACCAGAACTAATGTGTATGAATCTTTTTACTTGAAAAGGGAAACTATCAGTTTTGTTATACATTTTGGTTATGATTTTGTCATTAATGATTGTAATATGTAAGTCTAAATAATTACATTGCAAATTATCTATATGAGTAGTTTCCAAACTTAGTTTGTTATTATATATGTTTTTGATCATATTGTGAACTGTATGTTCTGTGCTATTGTGTATGATTAATAGATCATCCATATAACGAAATGCAAAAAGTTGTTTATTGTTATTTACTTTATTAATTATATACTTGTATTCATACCAAGATAGTGTCAAGTCTGCTAATAATGGACTAAAATTACCGCCCTGTAAATGTTTCTCGTTTTTTCTTTCATTTCAAACACTTCCACCTAGAATAGCATACAGTCTGCCCCAATCGGGATCAGGCCAAACCGTCGGCTGAATTTGCGCGCTCGCAGCGCTAGGGGTTTGCGCTGCATACGCGCGCTGTCGCAGAGAGCGAAGAGATTGAGGAGAGAGCAGACTGGCTAGACGCAGAAGTAGCGCGAAACCCTCGCGACGCGCACTCCCGCCAAGCCAATTTTGGCCTGGTTAGGATTGGGGCAGACTGTATGCCTATCAGCTACAAGCCGAGAAACCCTCTCGATAAAAGTATCATACATTACATAAAATTTTAACCTTCGAAATAGCTAAAATCTCTGGAAAATTCTTCAATCTTAAAATCTTTAAAATCCAAGGTAAAATTACAACTTTTTCTAGCAAGACATTTCCGATAAAAGAGGACTATTCGAGCGTGATCGCCAAGAAGTATGGCGCTACGATCAAGGCGTACGACTTCAGGCAGTCAGCAAAAACTGCTAGGGTATATTAAATAGTTGGAATCAAATGAACTCAAATTGGAGAAAAAAGAATCTAGTTGATCGACAATTTTGTGAGTGATAAAACTGATGGGAAAATCAAAAACCTCATTACCAGTTCTGCAGTAGAAGGTACGTTTTCCCCATTATTGCCCTTTTCTCATTAAGAGGTTTTGTTCCAGATGCAGTCGCTCTCATAATAAATGCGATTTACTTCAAAGCCAAATGGTATTATGAGTTTAGCAAACGATCTACAACGAACGCTGTGTTTTATCATTCTGCAGCTGATAAGGAAAAGGTAAAGAAACTGCTGCAACGCAATGCGTACCTCGCTCATCAGCACCTTTTATTTGTTGATTTTTGCAGATAAAGTTTATGAAGGAGTTTGCAAAAAATCGCTTATATGCTGAGAATGATGTCGTTCAAGTTTTATCGCTACCCTACAAAGACACATCCTATTCTTTCAATATATTTTTGCCTAAGAAAAGGTGTGATGTTTAGCAAACCAGGTTTGCACTCGTAGTGTATTTTTAGATTCGGGCTTGAGGAGCTTCGTTCAAAGTTGGATGGAGGTATGATTCAAAGTCTGCTTTCACGGTTAGACTCCACACTTTTAACGGTAAGTAAGAGTAAAATTTCTGGCTGTCTGCTTTTATCAGGTTTTGTAGATATCAATTCCCAAAATGAAACTGGAAAAAAGCTACAACCTGAAGAAGGCTCTGGAGGCTATGGGTGTTACCGACCTCTTCGATAGCGAATCGGCCGATTTGTCAGGGATTTCAAAAGTCGGCCTGTACGCGTCTGACGCAAAGCATAGAGCTTTTATTGAGGCAGGTTCATTTCTTATGCTATAAAAGAAAGAGTTGTATCCTAAGTTTAGATCACGGCAAAATCCATAGTAATCTGGTATTAATGCTGCAGGCAGGGCTCTGCACAGGTGGCTTGCGGGGCAAGCTGGATATCGTTTTGGGTTAAAAGGCAAGGGAGATATCGTTTAAGCGAGAACCCAATCCTCTCCCCTCCCCTTTCCTCCCTCACAATCACCTTCCCCCTCTTATGTCATCTTTCGTTTTCTATAGAATACGCAGTGTCAGTCCTGCCTTATTGATCCCATCTCTGCTTTATGAGAAAATTATGTGAACTAAAGGCGTGTCCAATTTTTTTTCGAGTTAGGTGGCTTTCCAGCCACCTGGACAGCCACCTGAGGTGGCTGTGAAAAAAAAAAGTCATATATTTTTCGTCCTTCATAATTTTTTCACAAGTTCAACATAACTTTGTTCTACATCAAGTACCCTGCAACTAAGTTTTTGAATTTCCTCGAACCCCCTCCTCCAGTTGCACCCTCCTCATATTTTATGTGGCGGCAAGCCTGCTCCAAGCGCACAATGGCGGGAGCAGGGTACAGCATGCCGCCAATTTGGAGAATACGAACTTCTTCAGTTTCTCTTTGGTTCCGTGTTATTTTAGTTTTGTTTTGTTATTCTTTGTTATTCCTGTTTGATCCATTCATGATCGCGTCATAGGTGATGTCGTGTTTTTGTAGCAAAGTCTGCGGGGCTTCTTTTTTAGAAAATTAAAAAAGCCACCTCATGTCGAGCGAACCCTGGCTGCAGGTGCAAGGTTCAGACAGTGATGCGCAGTGTCTGAACACTTGCTCAGATAATCGGCGGGGGCAGGCGGTCCGCAAACTCGCGCTTTTCTGCAGGCGGTCAGCAGAATTTTGGGGCGTGGCCAAACCTTCAGCGGGCAGCACTTCCTTTACGGTCGCATATTCTGCCAGCGGGCAGCAATACAGCATTTTTTGCAAGCGCTCAGCAAATAATTTCTTTCAGCGAGCGCTGGCCAAACTTTCAGCAAGCGCTCGGACTCTTTTTAGGCATTTTCGAGCGTATGTCGAGAGCGGGTAAGACTCTGTGTGGCAGAGGTGTCACCGTTGGTTTAATTACTCAAGTTTGAGGTACTTTCTCTCAGCGGAAAGTACCTGGGAGTTGCGCGGTCCTCCACAAAGGACCGTGCGGCCCCCGAAATTTTTGCATATTCTCGCGGAAAGTCCGCGAGAATGCGGCCACTGCGCCGCAGCTAATCCATAGAGAAACCGCGATTGTTCTTCAAGCATTCGTCTTTAATTTTGCCAACTTTCTTCCAAATTTCTGCCAGCGGGCAGCAATACAGCATTTTTTGCAAGCGCTCGGCAAATAACTTCTTTCAGCGAGCGCTGGCCAAACTTTCAGCAAGCGCTCGGATTCTTTTTACGCCGTTTCTGCCGTACGCCGAGAAAAGATGAGACCCTGCCTGGCAGAGCCATCGATGGTTTTATTACCCATTGGGGTACCTTCTTTCAGCGAAAGGAAACCTGGGCAGTGCGGTCCTTCACAAAGAACCATGCGGCCCACAACAATCTTGCATTTGCTCGTGGAAAGTCAGCGAGAATGCGGCCACTGCGCCGCAACTTATTTACAGAAAAACCGCGATAGTTCTCCGAGCGTTTGTTTGAAAATTCGCCAAATTGCTCCTTTCTGCAAGCGGACGCAAGAAATCAGCGAACTATTTTTACGGCGCCCGCTTGCTCAAAAATCGCATGGCCGCTTGCCCTCGGCGATTATCTGAATGTATGAAAAATGTCATAGGCCCCGGACAGACTTCACGCGACTTAATCGTCGCGATCTAATCGCCAAGATTTCCATTCATTTTCATTTCACCAAAAATTTCGGGCTGGAAAAGCATCACAACCGAATGCAAGTTGACCGGCATGGAATGATGTTATAACAGTTTCTCGTCGCAACTCAGTCGCGACGATCAAATCGCGTGAAGTCTGCCCGGGGCCATAAAGTGCAATACTTAACATTTGCCTTCCATGGCCATTGTACACGCTCTTATAAATGTCGGTATTGCATTCACGGCAATACGTTCATGCCCAAGCATCAGTCCTGGTACTGTATGTCGTCAAATCTCTTTCTCATTGCTCAGTGATAGCTTTTAGCAATAATTCTGAATTTGCTTAAACAGGTTGACGAGGGAGGAACAACTGCAGCCGCAGCAACATACATCATACTGGGAGAACTAGTGTCATACAAGCCGAAGCCTATCCCTAAAAAGTTCATCGCAAATCACCCATTCATATTCATTCTTACTAAGGATAAGAACGCTCTCTTTATTGGGCAATATGTATGATGTATACTTTGTCCATTTACATTCATATATCTGAATAAATGTGCAAAGGTTGAGACATCTGGCATTTTTAACCTGCATTATCTAAGAATAACGCAAAAAGTACCTATTGATGTCTGATAAAACTGTTCTAATGAAAAGATATCTGGCTTTCAGGCCTCTTGGGGATAGGTGGTCATATTTGAGGAATTGTAGGGCGATTTCTCAGATATCGTGACACTGTAGCGTGTTTAGGCTAGAAGCTTCGCATCAGGGGGTTAGATCTGCTTTTGCCAGTTTTGGATGAACTTCGCATGTGCTGCGTTGACGAATGGATCCCGGACATCGTTTTCATCAACATTCTCTCGATTATACATATTGGCCGGTAGTAATCTAGCAAATTGGTGGCATCATAGATGCCGGCAAGTTGGCACATATCGCATGAAGTTGCCAACTCCAGCGCTCGAGGATTAATCGTAGGTTCGATAGAATTAATCTCCGCAATCCTATGTTCATGGAATTTTGACGACGCTGATAAGCGCAAAACAGTGGCATCGAGCGCGTTCGAACCTGCATGCGTGAGCCTCATGCGCCGCCGTATCAAATATTCGACCACTCGTTCAATTTTTGTTGCCTGCGACAGCAATGAGAGAAACGCTACCTAAGTGGCGCTGAATGAGAGCATGGTCAGTACATTGCGTGACAGACGTTGAACTGAAAATACAGCTGACTGATAGGAGCGAGCGAGAATCGTTGCAAATGACATTCAAAGCAATTGCAAAATGAAAATGGAGTTCTTTATGGTTTCATAATATCACTAGTCTTCTTGTGCATACATGTCATCAATTTGGAGAAGAAGAACCCATATAGCGACAAAAATAACAGTTTTCGATGGAAAGTAAATTTTTTTTGATTCTTTTGCTGGACGTAAATTGTGAGAATTGCCGCGCGAGGTAGTTTCACAGACGCCGCCGGCAAGATGCTTGCACATCGATATGGTTGGGGCACCTCGCGATGCCGGCAACTTTCTTTTCCAAAAGAGCACGCCATTTCTTGTGCTCTATGACCTGCCGGCAGCTGCCACTTCGTAAACTTTGACGAGTTGACAACCGGCCCTGAAAACTGACTTTTATCCCTTGGTCTTGTAATAGTTTGCCTTTATAAATGCGGCTTTGACGTTCCTCTTTTCAAGTCTTCACTTGCTACTCCTCATTCAGTTCATATTGCCCGCACCATCACCTTGGCTTTGTTTCGCTTCAGCTATCTGACATCATACAGTATGCTGATCTAATAAAATGAATGTGAAGTTGCTTTCAATTTTATTAGGAGCCTTCGGCTCTCACGAGTGTACCGGTTGGGCAAGGTTGGCCAATAGACCCGTCTTATAAACTAAAGGCTTAGTTTCAAAAATAATGTAAAGATCGTTTCTCGGGCAGCGCATGGACATCAATGGGCATGGGTTCCACCTCCTGTTCTTATAATGAACTAGCTGGCTTAGCCGACTTTGCCCAGCCCTGTCAAAACACTATGGGCCGCATGCACTAACATCCCCGCGGGGAGGGGATTGCAGTTCAAAAGAAATCTTCATATTCTGAAGCTTTAGATATCTGGCTTTACTACGAACACATTGAACAGGAGCGAGAAGCTGCACAAGCCGCATTTTCCAGCTTTTGTATGACCCTTAATGATCCCCAGCGCTTTTCTTTAAAATCATTTTTCTTTCTCCAGAGTTAACGAAAAGCTTCCAAAGTTGTGCATATTATCTAATCCAACACTGTTTAGTATGTTGCTGATAAGAACAAGTGATGTGTCCAAGTCATGAAATTTGCGATGCACCACAAGTCAAAAATTGGGGTTCACCGAAAAATCCGATTTTCAAAAATTCATTTGTTCCCATCTTCATATGCTTGGCACTGTTGTATTAGATGATCAGTACAACTTTGGAAGGTTTTCGTCAATTTCAAAGAAAGCAAAATGACTTTGAAGAAAAGCGCCGGGGATCATCATCATACAAAAGCTGGAAAATGCGGCTTGTGCGGCTTCTCACTTCTGTTTAATAGGTTCATAGTGAAGGATAGTAGGAATACTTGCGGACAGGTAGACAGCGTAAAATCCAGATATCTGGAGCTCAGAATATAAAGCTTTCTTTTGAGCTGCAATCTCCTCTCCAGCCGGGATGTTAGTGCATGCGGCCCTATGCTAAAGGTATCATCCCTATCCCTGTACAAGCTTCCCCTGTGCCCACTTCTACATGCCATCCCTACTTACGCTGTGTTAGATATCAGCATGCTCGATTATACCCCCCCCCCCCGTGCCATCTCCCAACCCCGTAGTTCAAACTTTGCAAAAAAATCGATAAAATAGATAAAAGTAATGGATAGTCTTGGAGACTAATAATGTAGTCTTAATCAGCATGCTAGATTACTCCTCAGATAATCGCCGGGGGCAGGCGGTCCGCAAACTCGCGCTTTTCTGCAGGCGGTCAGCAGAATTTTGGGGCGTGGCCAAACCTTCAGCGGGCGGCACTTCCTTTACGGTCGCGTATTCTGCCAGCGGGCAGCAATACAGCATTTTTTGCAAGCGCTCGGCAAATAATTCCTTTCAGCGAGCGCTGGCCAAACTTTCAGCAAGCGCTCGGACTCTTTTTAAGCATTTTCGGGCGTACGTCGAGCGAAGGTAAGACTCTGTGTGGCAGAGGTGTCACCGT